CGTATCCGTGTGGTGCGGCTGACACAGACAAGTAGAACAGTATACGCAGTTTGCGTTTAGTGGATACGTCCAAAATGCTACGGTGACGCGGAGGAGACGAATTGTTGAATAAAGTCGTTATTTTTGTTTTCTTTGCGTACAAAAAGTAATCTTGTCGCTTCATAAAATTCATAATGAACCCCTGATGGCAGATGAACTATTTTGACGATGTCTTTCATACTTTTCTGGGCCTTGACAGTGTTATTTACTTGGCAGTCAATGGGACAGTCACAAGCCTCTCAGTTTTCATCCAAAATATCTTAAATTGTTTTCCGAAGACGAACGAAACTTTTACGGGTTTGGAACGACATGGGGGTAAGTAATTAATGACAAAATTTTCATTTTGGGGTGGAGTAACCCTTTAAAGGCATCTTAGTTTGAAAGGATTTCCATACTACACTATTAAAAAACTTCTTAAAGGGATAGTTCACCCAAAAATGAAAATTCTGTCATTAATTACTCACCCTCATGTCGTTCTAAACCTGTAAGACCTCCGTTCATCTTCGGAACACAATTTAAGATATTTTTGATGAATTCTGAGAGCTCTATGACCCTCCCATAGACAGCAATGTAATGACCACGATCAAGGTCCAGAAACATAACAAGGAGATCGGTAAAATAATCATTGTGACATCAGGGGTTCAACCGTAATTTTACGAAGCTACAAGAATCCTTTTTGTACGCAAAGAAAACAAAAATAACGACTTTATTCAACAATTCGTCTCCTCCGCATCACCCTGGTGGCATTTTGGAAAGTATCCACTGAACGCAAACCGCGTATGCTATTCTGTGTCAGCTGCGCCACGCGGATAAGTTGTTTTCCTTCAAATCAAAGTGTAAACAACGCAGAAAACGTATGGTGCGTGGCGCAGTGACACAGAATAGCATGCGTTGTTTGCTTTCAGTGGATACTCTCCAAAGTAATTAATGACAGAATTTTAATTTTTGGGTGAACTAACCCTATAATTGGCATTGATGGTTCCATAAAGAACCTTTAACATTCATGGTACCTTTCCATTGCATAAAAGGTTCTTCAGAGTGGAAAAAGTTTTAGATTTTTTTGAATGTTCTTCACACTAGATGTTCTTTGAAGAACTGTTTACTGAAAGGTTCTTTGGCACCGCTGTGAAAACCACCTTATAAAACCTTTATTTTTAAGAGTGCATGACCCCTTTCAAGCTACGGATAGTGCTCAGTAGGTGTTTCCTCTATTCTACCAGGCAACTTTCAGAGGAAAATGCCAACCTGCAGGTGTACGTTGAGAAAGAGAGCAACGAGAAGAAACGACTGAGTCGCAACAATGAAGAGCTTCTGTGGCGTCTTCAAACAGGCGAGTTGAGCCCACGAATGTCTCCCACCCAGTCGCCCCTTCATCGACCAGCCTCTAGTCCCGCTTCACCCTCCCGACATCAGCCCTTCCCTAGATGAGTGTCCAATTCTCTGCCTTTCTTACTCAGTCTCTCGCACTCTTCTTTTTCTGTAACTCATGTTTCTCATTTTGGATTCTGATTGGATGGAACAGAGGATGCTCTCACACCTCTTACACCATAGATGGTGGTCATAGCGCTTTCAGTTTCATCATGCCAATGTCAATGTTACTATATTAGTTGGTACAGTGATCAGGGTTTGAGTTGACTTTTTTAGCAAGACTGAACAAAATAGTTTAAGGCATGTATATGTAAATGGATAGTCCACCCAAAAATGTAACATTCTGTCATAATTTACTTGTTCTGAACCTACATGACTGACTTACTAATGTAGAGCATAAATGAAGAAATTTGTAAAAAAAAAAAAGATTATTGTTGTTCTTTTTCAAACAATTTCAATGATTAGGGACTGAAGCTTTTAAGCTTTAAAAAGATGCATGAAAGTCAAATTTAAGTTTACTGATATACTCCGACTACAGTGTAACCAGATCAGTGAGTTGATCTCGAGAACCAAACAGGACTGATTCATGAAGAATCAATTGGGGGTGCATTTTTCAAAAGCATTTCAAGCAAAAGTTGAAAGTTCCATTGTTACTAACACTCTTTTCTGTTGTTACCAGTTAAACGTTGAATGTTTTCATGAAAATACAGTTCCAAACAATATTACCAAACAGCTTCACAAAGTTGTTTGGTGGGAACTACTGTCTTTAATCTGTGATTAGAAATTTTTTTGTTAGTATGATGTGACATACAAATGAAAATTGAATTCTACATCTTTTAGTTTTTCATGGAAATTAAAAAAGTTGATGTAAAAAGGAATCAAACATGGAAATTAAGCCAAACAACAGAGGACAAAAGAAGCAAAGTTGTCCTCAGTTCACATGTTCATTATATAAAGCAATAATCTTACATAATTAGCAGAAGTTATTACTGCACCACCTGCATGACGTCACTAACGTCAAAGTTACTACGGTTTCAGGTAACATTCATGACTAGCTAGTTAATTTCACTAGTGATGCACCATACTGTGATACATAGCCAGCAAATTACGTTGGGAAATGCACCCCAAACCACTCCATGAATTGAATTGACTGTTTAATTAAAAAAAACGAATTCATTCACAGTTACCGACCAATAGGATTTTGGCCGGGTCTCACAGTCAGTTGATTAGCAGACTTACAATGCAGCACACAAGTTCACTTTTACTACACTTTTATGGTGGTTTGAAAGCTTGAAAGCATCAGTCCCGTAATTGCATGGAAAAGAAAGACCAGCACATTCTTCAAAAGTTCTCCTTTTGCATTCCACAAAATAGTCAGTCATACAAGTTTGGAACAACACGACAATGAGAAAATGAGAGAATTTTGAGCTTCAAATTTGTTAAATTAACAAATAAACCTACACTAGAGAGAACAGAAAAAGGGAAAATTATTCTCCCTTTTTTGGTGTAAAACTATATAATGTGAGTCACAATGTTGTGCATTATGATATTTCACAGGCCATTTTGGAAATATATCCTTTTTTGTACCTTCTACTCTAATGGATTTGGGCTTGTGCTGAGGTTTTCCGTTCGAACAGGACATCATGGTGCTTGTTCCCCAACCTTTGCCTATTGTCTCAAGCTTTTCCAAAGATTAATCAGGATAACATATATACAGTTTTACTAAGAATTTGCCTTTTTCAAAGGAAAACCACCGACCAGCAACCTTCTGTGCAAGCCCAGGCATTACTGTACTCAATACACCAAACAGGAAAAGACAGGAAGACATCTTTATACCAGGCAAGTTTAGTACGGACAGCTGTCATTCAAATGAGGTAAATACTTTGTCAAAACAGGATCAACTAATAATTATGCAGTCTAGGGGCTTAAATGTCGATACAAATGAGTCTAAAATGTACTTACACTTTTTAAGGTGGTTCATTCACATTTTGTGACCACTATACAAGGATGCTAATGTTAGCATGGACTGACAATGCAGTAGTTTAAACAACTTGCAAAACTTCAACCTGCTGTCTTTACCTTCATCTCATGTTTGTGAGAGTAAACAATCCTCATGCCTTCATCTCAACTGTCCATGTTTACAGAAATCTCCGGAATGCATTAAGAACTGCCTATGAACTGATGCCACGGTTATCGGTCATGGCTGTTTATGTCCCTCTTCTCTGTACAGTATGTATCATAAGTCTTCCGGTTGCTCTGACTCAGATAATATGCTTAAACTGCATTCACGTGGACACTATGAGGGCATTTGTCCTAGAGACTTTCCTGCATAATATCTAACTAAATGTTTTTTGCAAAAGTACTACAGAGCATTACGTGAGCATTTTAAGTTTGCAACAAGTTATCATGAGTACCTCAGTTCTTAAAAATGCAGGCTTCTACAGAGACGTATTGTTTATTCTAATACATTCAGGGTCTACAGTGTCAAAGCCATGGTCTTAATACAGGAAAGTCTTTAGTAGTGAATAATAATAACCAGAAAGTATTTAAACTACACCTGCATTAATCTTCCCTGAATCGCCTACAACAGCTATCCTGTATATTAAGTGGATCATTTGTATGTGTATATACTGCTGACGTTGTGGTAAAAATCTGGACTCAATCTTTGGGAATTTTAGAAAGGAGTTAGGAAGTCATCTTGTTCATGAATGTTTTAATGTCCTGAGAGGACAATATAGATGCTTTTATTTTATGTCTAAGTGTACTTAGTAGTGCAGCTATTAGTGATTACATATTTTATGATTAGCATAAATGACCATGATTGAGTTTTTATAAGAACATGAAATCATTAGTTAACATTCTTCAGCCTTAACATTTGTACTAACACAGAGAGTGCAAATGGCTGCTGCCGTTTACAAACACTTGAACTATAATGATGGCTGATTTTATACTATTGTACTGGTGAATTTTGTTTATTTATTCCTGCTCATTCCGAGTGATCCAGCTCAGGTTAGGAAGGTGCATTACAATGTCATTCACAGTTTGACTCGATACATTCTAAAACATCTTCATGTTGAATCTACAGAACGGAATGTAAACTACAGGTATACATTTGAAGGTTGGCATCAGTGTAATATCAGACTTGTATTTAAATGCATTTCACTCGTATAGCAATTAAATTGAAAGCTCTGAATGAAATATAAAAATCAACTACCTGTCTGCTATTACAGTTCCTTAGGTGTCTGCTTGGATTATGCTCATCTCTGCTTTTGAAATATAAATGAAAGGAAATCTTTACTCAATCAGGATGTGAAATGCACTGATTTGTTTCTTTTGTCTTTTTTCCCCTTTGTGTGTCCCATGGACATGATTATGGAGTTTCTGAATGCTTCTTCCATTCATAAAGGAACAGTTCAGCCAAAAAATTAAAATTTTGTCACTATTTACTCACTCATATCGCTCCAAACTTGTATGTTGTTATTTTTGTCCATGTAGCGTACTTCACATTTTAACAGTTGTGCCGTGCTAAAAAAATTATTTACCTAATTTGATGCTCCAGACATTTAAAAATTGCTTATAAATCTCTTATTAGCTATATTATCGCCAACTATTGGATTTAAAAAGCATCATAAACATCATAGTTTATATAGCATCTTAGTCATCATAGTCTTTATGACTTGTGCACTATGTTCCAAATCTATCCATACTGTGAACTAGTGCTATATTGAGTAGAAAAGCATTTACGTTTGAGAATGAGTAAATAATGACTGCATGTTATTTTTTGATGAACTGGAATACAAACACAACTGTCTGTCATTGGATATTTAAGGGAGGTCTGTAACATGGATTGTGTTAATGAAATGTCCTATTGATTATTTTTTTCTCTTCTCCTAATTTGTGTTGTACAGCTTGTATGAGCTTTATGTGTGATCTATGTTACAACACGTTAATGGAAAAGCATGTCTTAAAGCTGTGATTTATTTTGTTTCGTTCAAACCTTGTTAGTGTATCTACTCACTGTTGTGATGCATTCAAAAACTCTTTTGATGATTATGTTGCACTTTATTGCCCTTTGGGTTTAAATATTAAAAGAAAATGTAAAAGCATCCTGTTTCTTAGAGCGGACTTTCAACTCATTTAAAAAGAAGTCTAACTTTTGAGAGAAGATATTTATATATACAGTGGGTACGGAAAGTATTCAGACCCCCTTAAATTTTTCTATCAATCCATCAAGATGTTTTAAGTATTTGTTTCTTACAAACATGCAGCTTTTCACATGACAATGGTTACTGATGGACTGGAGTCATGTGGATTACTTGTGCATTATTGTGATGTTTTTATCAGCTGTTTGGACTCTCATTCTGACGGCACCCATTCACTGAAGAGGATCTTTTGGTGAGCAAGTGATGTAATGCTAAATTTCTCCAAATATGTTGCGATGAAGAAAGAAACCGACCTGCATCTTGGGATGGCCTGAGGGTGAGTCAGTTTTCAGCATATTTTCATTTTTGGGTGAACTATTCCTTGCTATTTCTCTTAATTGTGTTTCTTGGAGGAAAACATCATATTACAACTTTCTGAGAAGACTAGAATCTTGGAAATCTGCAAATCATTCATTCAATCAGTAGTTGTAGTTATGTCTGAAACCATACTGGACATCCCATATCCTATAATGCACCATAATAAAGAGTGTACCCAATGCACTGCAAGGGATCACACCAAATTAATTTCCACATCTAGGACAAATTTAGAAGTAAATGCTTGTGCAGGTAAGCACTGTGCTCGACACAAAGCAATTTTATGTATTAAACAGCAAGCACAAACTAAACAACAGCACATGAATCTCTGAATTTGCACACTTGTTTTCGTTCACTCTTTTAAAAGTGAACTATATTAGTGTACTGTATGAAATAGTGTATAGGGGGCGATTTCAGACACAACACACCATAATACTACAAAAACACAATACAAGTAGCATATTCTGATACTATAAAATAACTTTGGATAAGGGACATACCAAAATTTTGACCATACCAAAATTACCAAATTGAAATGATTAGGTTCTCTAATTCACCTCACTGATTCAGTGATCCATTTGCAGCAGTTTGTGAGCTCACTGGAGGGTTTTTTTTTTTTTGTGAGCGATTATGTTGTGAAGAACATAGTGAAAGTTTATATTATAGCCAATTCTATAACTTTTTAAATGTTTGTAATATTATGCACAAATTCAATTGACTACTTTGTGATATGTTTAACATGTTTTTGTCCCTTTGAAAGTGAATCAGTTTGGTCAGTGTGAACTGCCATTGTATGGAAAGGAGCTGCGTTCTATGGAGGCCCAAACTTGCAAAAATTAAAAATAAATAACTGTAATAGGAAAACAAATACAATAATATAAATGTATTAATAAACAAATATAAAATAAAAATGAAAAAAAAAAGATAAAAAGAATGCATATAGAAAATAATAAATAAACAAAAACAAGTATGTAGTAAAATAAAGGACTAAATTTAATTACAAATATTTTTGCTTTAACTTTATTTCCTTTAGATATTGTCATACTGTCACAATACTGTATATTTATGTATTCATTCTTTCATCCATTTCCCCATTGGGTTGCCCGCTCTGTTCAGGATCGTTATGGTGCCTCTGTACTGCTGCTCTGAGAGTTCATGTACCTGCATGTTGTATGAGATGCCCTCTCTGTCAGACAGCAGCTCTGACAGGCTCTTTGTGCCCAGGACATTTCGCAGGGTGGTCTGTGCCAACAGCCGTGTTGCGTGGTCTGCATTGGACACGTTGGCCACGGAACAGATCGGGTCAAAGACACGAAAGTACACCACACCATCCACACTCACGGTCATGGAGTCCTTTGTCAGGAACTGTTCTCACATAAACACAAATAGATGCTCATCTTTTCATATAATGATCCAAATCTTTAAATTAGGTATTCAGATCTAGTTTATTTAAAGGGGTCATATGATGCTATTTTAAAGATCATTATTTTGTGTATTTGGTGTAACAGAATGTTGACATGCTTTAATGCTCAAAAAACATTATTTTTCAAATACTGTACATTATTGTAGGTCCTCTATGCCCCGCCTCTCTCAAACCTGAAATACACAGCGTCTCCCTGACATGGCTGCATCAACACGACTGCTGTTCCTGAAACCACTCCTTCTTTCTTTGTGTGCACATTTGGGCAGCATTATGCTAATATTTCCACATCGTGACGTAGACATGTGGGGGCGTGTTAGAACGAGCCGTTTTAGGTAGGCGTGGTTGACTCTTAACTTTTATAAAGAATATCTCTTTAGATTTGGGACTTTAGTCTTTGCAACTTTACAGCTCTTCTTTATGCACCAAGATCTATTGGTATGACACTTTTATTTGGACATTTGTACTTGGTCAAGGGTTCTCTCTAAGTTAACTATGAAAGCTAAAAAAAAAAAAAACGTTTTTTGTTCATTAAAATAAAGCTGAAATAAAATAAAATATCATTATTAGATGAAAAACTTAAACTTAAGAAACCTTACTGAAAATTCAAAATATTTAATATATTTAAACACACACACACACACACACATACATATATATAAACTTAAATATAAATGAAAGCTAAATATAAAAACTAATAAAAAATACAAAAGCACAAAAAATACTATAATAACAATTATGTGATTAGTAATATGACATTATTTGTACCTCTTGAGCAGGAATATCAAATGTCACCGTCCTGAATGTATCAGTACATGGCAGCACAAAGAAAATTCCTATATAACGTATAAATAATATACAAATATAGATGATTATATGTTTAAAGTACAGAAATTATTATCAGGGATGCTCTTTATTAATAACATTCAATTATTCAAATATGTGGGCTGCTATATAAATGTAAACCTTTGTCATACCAGGTCCTTTTGGTTTCTTGTCCACAATACGACCTAATCGAAAGATCACGGCTCTTTCATACTCCTTCACAATCTAAGAGTGAGTCAGTGAGGTACACTGTAAATACAGTCAGTCATCGTTTGCATAGATGATAATTACTGTGTTGAAAAAATACATTAAACTATCTATCTATCTATCTATCTATCATCTCATTTGGGCATTTTACGTTGGCATTATGGAAAGTTTTCAAAATTTTCATATTGCATATACTCAAGTAGAAAAAAAACTTCAACTGATGAGAAATACATTTTGAAGTGGATTATACATATTTTAAGCACCTCCATTTTGCCTCCTATATGCAAAACCTAAAATAGCCACAAAATTAAACCTACAACTGCAACATATTTTTAAATATTAAAGAAGCCTTTTGAAATCTTACTTGTAAAGGTTGCAATACATGCCAACCAGACACTGAGATAATGCCCTGATATTGTTTAATCAATTGATAGTTTTCACGTGACGTCGCACCCTTACAGGAACGCCCACCTGGAGGGCAAAACGAAGCTTTGCTCCACTGACCCAGTTATTTTTACGCAGATTGCATTAAGTAGTAAATTTAATGAAGTAAAACGCAGATATTTAAAGGCGAAATTCAGTAAACACCTTGTTGATTATGTATATTTTGTACAGGCAAGCAGATGAACCCAGAATATAAACACAATGTGCAAAGTTTCACATTAAATGGTTTCCCATAGAAACCCATTATAAGGAGAACACTGAACCATTCATATTCCGGCCTCATCTGCTTGTAAACTATGCATCATTAATATGGTGATTACTGAATTTGATCTTTTAATATTACTGTTTTAAATATATTAAGGCACTTTAAGTGTTTTTACAACGTTTTGTCGCACTGTTTATTGATTGAAATATTGCCGCGGGTGCTTAATATGGATTGCAAATGGCCAAAACTTGCATTTTGTTCACATACCTTTGTTTTATTCTTTTGAGAGGTGATCTAAATACTTGCGTCTGGGAATCAGATGGAAAATTGAGAGGCTTGTGCTGCAGTTCTATGGATGTTTTACCCTCCAAGTCTTCGAGCCGGTCACGTGACTGAAAGCTATGGGATAATACATTTCTTTTTAACCCTAGACTGAATGTCAGGTAAACATATCAAATACCACTGAGACACTCCTACTGACTTACCATGTGCTAACGATCTTGCTTAACTCCCTTAGTCTTCCTTATAAACTTAGTCATGTATAATTTAGGGTGAAACTGTTGCCATGGGGAATTATTATATAATAAATAGCCTACTTTTTCCATTTTTTTTAGCCTTTGTTTAATCATTACAGTTACAGTTGAAAATTGTGGTATTTATTTTGAATATTTTTAAGATTTTGTTTAAGATATAGAAATGAACAAAGGCGTATTATATGTCTGCTACTCTCAGTCTCCCGGGCTTGAACCCTGATTACGGTGGTCATTTTGAAGAGCGACACAAACTTGAGATGTGTTGCTGTAAACAGTAGGTAACAGAAGCTTGTAACGTGTGCTCACCTTCCCACGAGGATGTGTCCTGCTTAACTTCTCACTGGACCAGCTGCATGTAGAGCGACACTGAAGGTGAGGAAAATTCTGACTCATTTGATATCAGATGTGAATACCATGAACCTGAATATTACGTGGTGCAAAATAAATCTGATAATATTTTGAGTTTTCCATGCCTGGTCTTTTTTTTTTTTAAACAAATATTGTAGTGGGGCATTTATAATTCATAGATTTCTGCACCATCACATGGCAATGGAAATATGAGCCGTTAAATCACATGACAAATGCTGATATACTGTATGACCAGATATAACCTATGTGTTGTATTCTCAAAATTCTCTCATTCCAATATCATATTATTGCTGTAGTTTTGGCACCTTTCTGTGAAGCTCTGCTCCTCCGTGTGGATGATTGTTGCAAATAAAGTATGCAATTTCCTACAATATCTGTCTGGATATATCTAAATTGTTTCATTATTATATTAAAAACAATTTAAGTTTGCCAAAACCATTGTTTGATGTTTCTTGTAAACTCACAATTACATTATCTTTGTCATTCATCTACATTTTCTTTCATAAAGTTTGTATGTATACCTTTTGCAATATACATACTTGGTTA